ATTATTTTCCTTTCTAGGTGATTAGATAAATGAAAAAAATACTGCCTGTTTCCAGTTTCAAAATTCATTGTCTTGAATTTGAATATTTAGACTTTTTAAATGTACACTTCTGTAATTTTTTCCAAAGTATTTTTTGTCAAACGTGTTTTTTGTTCCTTTACATTTTTCGGTCAATCAAAACACATTTAGCAAAACCTCTAATCATCTGCAAGATGAATTAGTGTTGAAGAAATTGCCGTTTGAATATCGAAAAACGCTAATCAAACGTCATGACTTTAATCTGTTTTTTTACTTTTTTTTTTTCAACTAAAATATCTACTAGATAGAATTTGGGACCTTTTCCTTAGACATCAAAAGAAAAACGGTGAAACACAACTATATTTTAGAACTATAAGTTGTACAGAATGCTTGAAAAAACTACAGGAGTTATGATAAAAACAAAGTTACTTTTTATTTGATTTAAATTAGCTCTAAACTTAATAATTCTTTTCTACTTCACTCTAAAATCTACTTGTCAACATTAACAGTTTCACGTATGTTTCTGCTCAGATATGCCAAATATTTTCCCATATCAAAGTTTTCGCTTTTTTTCTACAAGTTCACCTCAGAATTACAAGTGACACGAAAAAACTACCTTAAACTGTCCTTTGAAAAAATTTGAAAGTTTTCAAGCAGCAAAATGTGCGAAAAAAAAAAGAAGAACTTGTTTCCTGTCCTTGGAAACAGAGTCTAAAAAATTGGATGGCCAAAAAACAGTAAAAGAAACTTTTGCAAATAAATTTAGAAAAAAAAATTAAGCTTCATAACCACAAAAATTTTATGCAGCAATTGTCAATTTCTTTATGCACCTTGCTCTCAACTAATATAAACTGTGCCAAAAAAAACAAAATCCTTAATATCTATTATTTTAACTACTTTTTGTTTACACCATACATTATGACTTTGATAATAGTAGCAAAATTGTTATCACAAAGTTCAAAAAATTTTAGAGGTATAAAGGTTTGTTTTGGTGAAATACAAAATGCCTTTCTTAGCGCAGATTTTAAAATGCGAACAATTAGTTTGGTTTAAGCAGCACAATTTAGAGCACAATAAAAATAATTTTTCAGCTATATTCAATTTTAAAAACAAAATTCCCACAACAAACAGCCATAAATTGAACCAAAAAAAGGGTAGAAAAACTGGGATATTCCAAACAACTACCGACAAGTCTCAAGCCCTATGCAAGGCGGATACCGGCGGATACCGACTGTTTCAATTAGCACAAAGCTATTACGGTTTACAATATACACTCCAAGAGTGCTTCTTTCAAATTCGTGTTTCCTCTTCTATGCGCAAAACTTTTAACCCCGCTCGTCTCAGCTGAAAGAAAGTTTGAAAAAAAAAATATTTGTAGAATATTTTTTCACTTTTAATCACCCCATTTCAATTGTACGCCCTCTTCAACAGTTAAAATAGTTT